TAACTTCAATCCTTACAGGTAGCTGATCTGGCTGAGTTGTGTTTTAGGAGCAGCCCTGGAAGGCCACAAATCACACATGCCTGCTGTAAGCCAAGCAAGCAACTGGCCCCTTTGCTTTGGGGTTCTATACCGCCCTAGGTTTGCTAACTACAAACTTAACTGTGTGGCCCCACCAGCTGTGATTCTCAGTTCCATACAAATTAATCGATCTGAATTTCATCTCTCAAGATCTGGTTTTCAATCCCTGAGATACAGAGGATTGCAGATTTTGCAAAAGTAATTTTGTTAGTTCTTTCCCATAACGTGCAAAATCTTGGACAAATCTAAAGCCTCCTTATGTTTTCTGCTTTGATTATTTCATCTGTCCGTAGCCCCTTCATATCCACTGGTATGGATCATGGGATCCTGCCTACCTTTCTTCACCTGTTTAATTCCTTACCTTAAGGTGATCTCCTGACCAGGCCATCAGTTCCTGCAGTTTGATTTTCAGTTTTGTAAATTCCTCCTTTTCCCATTTCATGAGTGCATCTACTTTGTCGGGTATCTACATGCCAGAAAGGAAATATCTATTTGCTCGTTTGTTTGTCAAATTTATATAGTCACCCATCTCACAAATTTTGATGTGCAATAAAATCAACAATTAAGACAGTCTTAAATAACCACTTAAAACAATTAGACGTAAAGATAAATAAGATCGTCGGAGAATGCATCAGAATCTGGCACATCAAACAACCAATTCAAAAAAATGTGTAGCAATTGAGCATAATCTTCCAGGGCAGGAATGGTTTATATAAATTGTGTGTGTCAGGACACACAAATAGAAGAATACAAAAAAAAATCTTCCTAAAATAAAATCAGACGAAATGAGCAACTCAGTGTGATTACTATTTCAATTTTAAGTGTGGGGGGGTTGTCGTTATTATTTTTCTTTTCACTATATCCATATATATATTTCTACTATGTTTTATTTATGGAAGTAGATATCTATGATAAGGGAGAAAGCTGGAAAGGCATGCAATATAAAGTGTCTTATGAAAGGTTTAGACAGAAGATTATCATCATACAACAGAAAGTTTATACAGTTAAATAGTCGTTTCAAGACTGATAAAAGAAAGCCCATTTTCATTCAGTCGTTCACATTGCCACATTGCCACATTGCAAATTCAGAAGGTTATAAAAATTAAAGAAATCCATGGAAACTATGTATCTCTTGTCACAGTAGTAGCTCAGATGATTAAACAGAACATCTGTTTTCAATATAACTGCCGTTAACAGATATTGCGAACAGAGAGGAAATCATTAAGTCAGTTCATCAGAATGAATTTTTCATCATTAGATGTGCCGTGCCAAGAATACAATATTTTTGCACATACGCTCTTTAAAAAAAACAGCAAAATAATTCCCTTGTACTAATACTGAGTGCTTGAGTGCTTACTGTCCTCCTAGGTGATATTGACCCAGTCCATTTGTCTGAGCTATGAGTAGTTAATCATTGTTTGCTCAACCAATGGGCTAGGGTCATACAATGGACGGGGGACATGATAGCAGTGTTCCAGTATCTCAGGGGTTGCCACAAAGAAGAGGGAGTCAATCTATTCTCCAAAGCACCGGAAGGCAGGACGAGAAGCAACGGATGGAAACTGAACAAGGAGAGAAGCAACTTAGAACTAAGGAGAAACTTCCTGACAGTTAGAACAATTAACCAGTGGAACAACCTGCCTCCAGAAGCGGTGAACGCGCCAACACTGGAAGTTTTTAAGAAGAGACTGGACAGCCATTTGTCTGAAATGGTATAGGGTTTCCTGCCTGAGCAGAGGGTTGGACTAGGTGACCTCAAAGGTCCCTTCCATCATCATCATCATCATCATCATCATCATCATCATCATCATCACTACTACTACTATTACTACTATTACTACTATTACTACTATTATTACTACTACTATTATTATTATTATTCATTAGGCCACAACTCCAATTTACAATTTAAAATGGCTGAATTGATTCTGAGCTAAGGTGGAATCAAGCAAGCAATATTAAATGATATTACTCTGATAGGTAAACACCATTACTGATACCGATCACCTTATAAAAGAAGACCAGAGTTTGAAAAACTGGTATTTGCAATGTATTAAGAGGAATAAACCCTGAGTGAGTCTCTGGCACTCACTGGCATGTAATGAATGGCTGTGAGAGGAAGACAATAAGGAAGGCTGAGCACTAAAGAACTCGTGCTTTCAAATTGTGGAGTCGGAGAAAAGTCTTGAGAGCCCCTTGGACTCCAGGGAGATCAAATCAGTCAATCCTAAAGGAAATCAACCCTGACAGTCCTTTGGAAGGACAGATATTGAAACTGAAGCTCAAATACTTTGGCCGCCAAATGAGACGAGAAGACTCATTGGAAAAGATGTTGGGAAAGACTGAAAGCAAAAGGAGAAAGGGACAGCAGAAGAGGAGATGGTTAGACAGTATCCTCAATGCAATGGACATGAATTTGGGCAAACCTCAGGAGACAGTGGAGATGTGTTGTGGTCCATGGGCTCACAAAGAGTTGGATACAACTTAGTGACCGAACAACAGCAACAACAACAAATCAAGGAAGGAGATGGATTTGAAAGGAATGCAAGTCTCACCTTTTCTGTTTCTGCCCGGTGCTCTCGGATGGCTTGGCTCTGCTTGTTGGTCATGAGGCCCTGGCNTTCCCAAACCTAATCCCAGGATAATATTCAGATATAAGTAAACAAGTATTAATATCTCTTAACTCCACAAAGTATATTATTCTACATGAGTAGGTAAAATATTTAAAAAAAAAAGAACAAATTTACTAAAAACCTAAATTATATTCCACCACTCTATGCTTATTTTAAATATAAACAATCCATCTTCTCCATATTAATAAAAATTATCATTCAAGTAATTCTTCAAATAAGCCGAAATCTTTGCCATTTCAGCAAAGTACGAAACTTCAATCTCCAGTCTTCCATTGTAAGTATCTATAATTTCATCAATCTACATCTATAAAAAAAAATCTTTTAAGCCCTTTTATAAAATTTACATCTTCAAATACTTATCAAGTATAATGTCAAAAAAAAAAAAAAATTACCAGCCTTCATTCATTATTAAATCAGACAGAAATTCTCTATTTCAAAATAATTATCATATTTAAAATAACAATGTAATTCCAAAAAATACATATCTACTTTTAAAAACATATTCTATCATTTCATTACTCTACATCTATAAAGTCTTTTAAACCCCTAAACAAATTTACTCCCTAATAATTATCAACTATAATAACAATCAGTTCTCATCCTTCTTTCATTATTAAATCAAACAAAATCTCTAAAGCCTTTTTAACCCATCAGATAGCGTTTTATCCACATTTAAACCTAACTCTAGCTTGTTTTTGTCACTCTTTAAATCTGTCACAGCCCCTTTGCTTTGTATGAGATGCTCTAGCAATTACAGAATTTGAGGGTTCTGATAAGTTCTTATAGAGGTCTTGTACATTAGTTGCCTGCAGAACCTCTGAGAAATTCTAGAAAAAAAGCAATTCAAGAGCCTATATAATTTTTCCCACTTTTTGAAGGGATCGCGATTTGTCTGCAATGTGTATCCAAATAGACTCTAGAACCCTTTTCTTCAACAGGTAACAAATTCTCATTTGTACAGCTTGTTTCTTGAAACGCCACTGATACGATAGGAAAAGACAAGTATTGGCTAACATGTGAAATGCATTTAACCTGTATTATTACTTGATAACCAGTTAGCCATATCAAACCATGTCTGTTGTGTTCCTTGTATTCCCCCCCCCCTTAATCCCCTATGCATATCCTGATCACCCATTAAGGGTGATTGCCTTTCACCATTGATCGCCCATTAAGGGTGATTGCCCTTCACCATTGATCGCCCATTAAGGGTGATTGCCCTTCTCCATCTGCATACAGTTTCATGCCCGTTGCTGGTTGGCTAACTAGCAACAGGGTCTTGCCAGCCA